TGCAGACTGGAGGAGGAGAAGGGAATAGGTCAGATTCCTTCTTCTAAAAAAATCTGCAGAACTTTCTACTTTACAGGACTGAAATATTTCTTAATGTTTACATCCCATTCTGTAAAGATGGCTGTGTCTCTGCTTATACTTCCAATATATTTCCTCCTGAAAATATGTTTTTTTGCTTTGTTTGGCTATACTCCTTTCCCTTTCCTTTCAGATATTCAGTGATGTTGAAGACTCAAGTGATTAATAGTTAGGTTTTTGTAGATGTTGCTGCTAATGGACTTCAACATGATAAGCTAAAGCTCTGATAGCAGTGATTCACAGTGTGTTGCTTCTCCAGTTTCCTAGTCTCCTGAGATCCTGACAGCTCCAGCAAGGGCTACTAGCAGTAGTCAAGGTGGTGTAAATGTGTATGTCTTTTACAGCTTTCCCTGGGGAAATTCAGGCTTTGGTTATATAATGAAAGAGACTGAAAACCACTTCATTTCTTTCTGTAATCTAACTGGCTTAAACCAGCCCATAAGCAGACATTTACAGTCCTTAAACAATGGAACAGCTCGGGCAGTGTAGTGTATCTACTGCTGTGCTTCTTCCACTGTATCTCAACCCCCTCAGCAATGGTTTAAACTTACTAGGAATAAAGCAGTTTCTGCTTTTGCCATTAAATCACTGTGAAGGCAACTGTACTTCTGTGTAAGAGAGTAAGAAGGGGTCAGTACCTAACCTAATAGATACTTAGATAAAAGGCTGAAATATTTTGAGTTATCCGTACTGTACTGGTGAGAAGATGTTAATACATCAGATATGAACAGTAATTCAAGAATATATAGTATTTTGGTTCCAATTAATTCCCACGGTGTAACAGAATAGTAGATGTCTGAAGACAGAGCAAATATTTTTAGTCTCAGAATCACATGACAGTTACAGCTAGGATGGGTCTTGAACTAATTGTCAAGTGTTGCTTCAGTCCACTATGGAGGGGAAAAAAAAGTAAGGAAAAAAGAAAGGAAAAAAAAAGAAAAAAGAAAGAAAAGGATCCACTTTTTTATGAGACTGTTTTGCTCACATTTCACACAGAAGAAACGAATTTTAAGTCAATCCATAGCAGGAAAATATAAGATAACTGAAAAACCTTTCAGGACCTCCCCCCTTCTGTGTTTTTGTTGTCTTACTTTTTACTTCCTTTTATAAAATTATTATGTTTTAGGTACCTTCAGTAACTTTTTGCTGAAAATTGTCAGCAATAGATACATAGATTAGAGACAAATATTTTGAATGATCCATCTTCTGCTTCTTCAGGCAAGCAATCAGGGGATAGCAGTTTCAGAAGATGAAGACAGTATACAAATAATAATTTTCAGTTATTATTTTTCCCATGAATTAATTTCTTTTTGAGTGAATATATCTATTTTCATTTTCAAAGTGCCCTGTGCCAGTAAGTTCATAATTTAATTTAAAATTATTTAAAAAAATCCTATATTTTACAGAGAATTTTTCTTTGTGTCCAGTTCCTTTTCTTTGATATTCCTTATTTTTTGTCTGTTTGACAGATGACCTTTAATCAGAGGAGTATTTTACTAAGCTAATTGCAAACCCTGCTTTCATATGTACAAGTGAATCCTAGTGAGCCCCTCATTCTGGAGCATAGCGTTATTAAGCTGTGCAGAGTTGAATTGTTTGACCTTGTGTACTTTTAGAATAAAGCAACAGGTATGTCTTATCTGTTAATTATAGGGTTTCAATGTCTGATGGTCAAAGTAGCAGAGAGGACTTACCATTCCTTTTGCCCTTTCTAGTAAGGCTTTGTCTCACACTTGATGATCTCCTTTGCCTTTGCTGATTTAGTTTTTCTTGTTCTCATGGTTTCTTTCCAGTGCTCACTTTATTTTCCACTCAATGATTCCCTGGAATTCCTCTTTTTCCCAGTGACTGTTATCTTCCTTTCTTTGCTTTATAGCTCAAATAACAGCCAACAAATATTCAGCCCATCATCAAAGTCTGTAATTAACAACAAATTTCTTATTTACAGAAGTTACTACAGGTTTTCCAACATCCCCTTTATAAAAAATAAGGTTGAGGATAGTATGGTGGCTTCAGTGAAGCTAATTGTCACCTTCCATAGATTTCAATTAGAGGGCAATTTATCCCTCTTTGTTCAGATGTGCACAATGATTTGCGTACTATCTAATGTGTAGTGTGCCTGGAACGTGCTGAGTTAAGCACATTAAAATTTGAATGTGTAGTAACAAAGGAATTCTAGGAGGATTTTGGACCACAGATCTAAATTTGTGAATGTTTCAACATAGTCAGGTAGTTTAAAACCTATTTATATGTGTCTATCCAAAACAGAACTGGAAGATCTTAGACCTTTCCTATATAGTGTCAAGATTGTCCTACAATGCATAGACTCAAAAGATACACAAAAATACACAAAAGCAAAACCCATTAACCCAGAGGGATTGGAGACTTACAAAAAAATGTAAGTAATAGGATAATTTGTTAGAATGCCTCTGGTCCCCATTTAATGCTTTATATATTCTTTTTAGGTCATTTTAAGTGAGAGGGGAAAATAGCAGTAAATGTTAACAGTCTAATTTAGTTTTACTAGAGAAAAGCTGAATGCAATGAAATTTCCTAAAATAGTTTTAAGCTGAAGGCTGTATGAATGTTCCTATTAAAAATATTCCTATTTGAAATCTGATTGAGTGCAATGTGCTTCTTACAGTGGCCAAGGTTTGGGGTAAGTTTTATATAAGTGGCAGCAACAACAAAACACAAAATTTTAAGTTCAAAACTCCTACTGAATTGCTACTATTACTGATCTGGATGGAGTTTAAATAGATTTCCTATCATGTCTTTGGACTATGAAGGAAGATAAGCAGGAACTTAGCTCAACTTCCCCAGAGCCAAAACTCTGTTTCTGAAATAGCTCTAGAATCTAAAATAAGAACTGAAATACCTTTACTGCTAAGTAATTTTTGTCACATGAGATTTCAGTCTTTGTTCTTGCTATTAAATATTTAATTACTTACTAAACTCCACTTTATGCCCTATTATAAGGGCAGTACACCACTTCCTATATGTAAAGTTTCCATTCCAATGGAATAGTATGGTTAGGTGCTATTTTGAAAACCCTCTCATCTCAGCTCAGTAAGAGTCCATATATTTCTGTAAATTTCTCTAAAATTTATTTCAAACACTTTATTAAAATGTCATGGAATATGTTCTAGTAGGAACTAGGAGTTGAAGTTATTCAGCCAGAAGTAGTGTAATCATAAATGCTTTTGAAATATGAAACACCATCACTACCTTTCCATTGGCAAAAGTCTTCAGAGGTCTTCATTTTCCAGCCATTCCAATAACAGCTGACCAAAGGGGTTGCGTCACTCCATTTTGGTCTGCTTGTATGACTTCATGGTATTTCTCCATTACATTGGTTAGCAACAGATGACTTTGCATTTGGTTGGATGGCTGACGTGTGACATGAAACATATACTATATGGGTATAGTCACTGTTCTTTCTCATATTGAACTTAATTTTATATTTTAAATCTTGTTTTGAATTATGTTAGGAAAGTAAAATCTACAAGTCAGTAGTTTATCTGTTCTTGCTTCCCTCTTATCATTGTTACGTTAACAGATTAAAAATCCTTTCATTCTATCAAGGCACTGACTTCATATGTGAGTAGATAATTAAAGCACATGCACAGCCCACAAGCCTCTGAATCGTATCTCTTTTCTCAGCTAAACATTTCTTTTTTTCTCACTGTGCACATTTCTGCTTGGTTTTATATTAATAAGTTTGTGATATAGCATGGATCCACAAGCTTCATTTATTACAATGATAACTGTTGATATAACTTTGTAGGAAAATAGCTCTTCACGAATTTTAAATTATGCTGTTTTCATGCTTGCTTCTAGAACTAGGAAAATTCTCTAAATTATGGTGATTATTTATTATTTTCATAAATGGGAATGTCACTTCTTCAATAAAATCAATAAGCAAGAAAACTTTCCTGTATTTTCTCTTTGTTATATCTACACAATTGTGTTAAATACTACTGAGGTGTACTTCAACAGCGTGCACTATCCCAGGGTATGTTGACCTAGAAGGTCTCATTCATTTGTTCTGATTTTTTCACCTTTCTTTCTTTCCCAATGACTAAATTCTTATGGCTTCCTGTCAATGAAGTTTTGAAGAATCAAGAAAAGGAAATAGAAATGGGAAAAGATTCTTTCAGTGAATGAGCTTGCTACTACGTCTTCTTTGATGAATTGTAGTTCTCATCAAATGTAAACCACCTTGATGGATAACAGTCTCTACCCACTGCCACTGTGTCCTGATTTTTGATGCAAGTCTTCTACTTGTATATACAGTATAAGAAGACTGTAAATATGCAGCAGAAACCTTCAGTATTTAGTTTGAAATATGACATTATGTGCTGGAATATATTCTGCAGAGTTTTTTTATCAATTCCTGGTCATCCACACAAAGAAAGTTATTTGAAGCTATCTTAAATGTGATACTGTTCTGTACAAGTTATATTCACAAGATTTCACTGCAGTTCCCTGTTCTTGACTCCCAGCCTTCCCCAGGTCTAAATGTCTTACTTTTATCCCTTACAAGAAAATTCATTTTCTTTCAAAAATGAAAGCCCCAAGATATAACCAAGAAACATTAAAGTATCCACACAAGGGGTAGAAAACACTTAAGATGCAAGGTTGCACTGACAATCTGCATTTTGTTACTAGATGATCAACACATTTCTGTCCTAGAGCTCAGTTAAAAAAAAAAGTCAACCAAAAAACCAACCAAAAACAGAAACCCAAACCCAAACAAACCAAAACAATCAACAAAAACCCCAAAACAGAACCCAGAATGAAACATGCAAAAATTGTTGAATTTATCTACTTATCAAATACCAACGCATTCAGAATAGAATGGGTGAAATTTCTGCTAAAACAAAGAATTTAAACTCCAATATTTTTCTTAAAAATATTACCTTTTCTCCAGACACAAAAGCAATCCTGTGAGGCTGGTGGTCTTTCTTACCAGTTAATCTAAACTGGTAAGAACTATTGTAGTTCTCTATTCCCAGCTAACAATGACCTTTTTTAAACCAGAGATTTCTGTTAAATAAAAACCCATTAAAAGAAAAAAAGTTCCCTCCAGGCCATCTGTTGTTTATTTTTCCTATTAGCAGCAAACTGTTCTCTTCAAGAACAAGGGTCAGTCAGTTCCACAAGAAATGGGAACATTTTGCCCTTTCATTTGCTGCCTTGTAAATAGTAGCAGGTATTACTTTTCCCTCATAATATTTAAACAGGTAGAAGTGGGTAATGTGATAATGCAATCTTTGCAAGTATTCATGTTTGAATTCACTATAACACATCAGCTGAATGTGGATTTATGAACTCCTACTCCACGGCATTTCTTTTGGAAAAGGGTGCCATTTTCTCACTAAAATTTTTAATTCACTGCATGTTTTAAGTTTCTGACAAGATGGTGGCATGACACATATTATCATACCAACATTTCTAATATTTGTATTTTTTTCTTTAGTTTCACCGCATTTTGTTTAGCTAGGAATATATTTTTCTGTATAAATTAAAAACATCACAATTGAGCTAAAAATGAGTTTAGGTATGGTTTTTCCTTCTGAATACTCACAGTTACTAGCCAGCTTTGGAGAAAAGGGGGAGAAACCTTACACACGCATTTTCTGCAGCACTGAAAAGAAGAAGAAAAGGAGTAGAAATATGCTGTGTTTCTGACGGCAATACTATGCACTTCAGGTATGAATGGATTTATTTCTTAACTAGTTGAAATACAAATATGTATACATTCAACTATCTTTATAAAATCATCTTTTAAAACCTCTAAAGTTAAGGAAAGACAAAGCAGTAGGTGGTTGAAGATGAGGACGGTGAATCACATAGTTGTAGTGAATAAAATGTTGAGCTTTTAATGAGACATATAAATAATTGATAACCCAGCCAATGAGATTTTCCTCCCTCATTTTAACTTTCTAAAATTGGAATTGTGTAAATTATTCTTTTCTTTCATTGTTATGCTTAGTAGTAAATCATCTTTATAATATTCCTCAATCTATTTTGAAGCTAGGTGATAATTCTGGAGGCAAGGAAGAAATATAGACTAGGACTGCATTATTTCTTTTGGTTGCGCTCCTCACAATTGTATTGATCCACTTTAAATTAACTTCATTAAAAGTAAGCCTAAATTTGTTTAATTTCACACTATATAATCCAAGTTGAACAATGCATAAGATTAAAAAGATTCTTCAGAAATAAAATATGAGACTCTGACAGCAATCAGTTGTAACTCTATTTCTTTTTTAAAAGCATTTTGTGATGAGCATATATGTATAAATTTGGCGAGGTTTGGGGATTTTGGTGGTTAACTGATTCTGCCAGTCAGTCTGTGCTAGTACTGTTTACAGAAAAGACTGTACCTTCTAAGGAACAGACGCTATTTTGAAGGAATTATGGAATCACTCTTAGTCAAGCTTTAGTGTTTTACTATCTTTTTTAGTGCCAATACTACCTGATACGCTGTGTAAGTGAAGTATTCAAACAATCATTTTCATATACTGAATTACTGTTCCAGTAAGTGTTTGCTTGTTCTGGTTATTTTTATCACATTTTGCTTTTGCAGGATAAGCTGAAACCATTAGTGTGACAGTTTCAGATTATTATACTACACCGATGCCAGCACAATTTATTTAAGCTACTTTTTTGCATCTGTTCCATAACATATGCTTCAAAATATCCATCAGAAAGTAGAAAGGTCATTGCTTTTGTTTCGTTTTCCTCAGCTTCCCACCAAAATGTAAAGTCAAACCACGTGGATTCTAGAGGATCATAAATCTGTTCTCTACATTTTGATAGAGAGTGTTACAATGAGCAAATTTTAAATAAAGTAACCTTGTTTAGAAAAAGCATGCATATAAGTCAAACAGAGAAAAATCATTCTGTTCGAACATATGCTACCACTATTTTTTTTTAACATTACTTTATTGAATATTAAGAATGTGAAAAGGTAGCCTAATACTGTAGAAAAATACCAGCCACCTGCCTACATATTTTCATTCACCTTCCTCAGGTCTGACCAGCAATCCAGTTTGACATTGATACACCACGGACAGGGCAGGAAGGAAAGGCTCTCTCCTGGCTGATATTCCTGCTAAGAGCCCATTCTGCATGGAATGCTTCCCCTGTTGGAATCAGAAGATGTGTTTGTAATATTTTCACTAGGGCCAAGCTTAAAACAGCACTGTGAATCAGAGTTTACGATATATTTATAAAATGGCATGGTAATTTTTTTGTTACAATCCTGAAACCATTCTTTATTCATGCTATCATATTGATTGCTTTGACTACCACTGCATTTTAAGTATAGCTTTTCACAGAGTTTTCCCTAATGGCTCTCATGTCACCTTTTTTTCCACTTGTAAATATGTAAATTAAAGAGAATCATCCAAATAAGGAAAAAATATGACGTTCTGAAGGGAAGAAAGTCAGTGTAAGTAAGAAGAAGAAAAATATTTTTGGTTTTTCCTTAGTGATAATATTTTCAACAACAAGAAATAACAAACGGATATTCTGTTGACCAAAATTATATGTAAATGGACCAATCCACTCTAGGATGTATTTGATTAAAAACGAAATGAAGAACATAAATACTTTTCTGTGCCAACACTTCAAATTATTCTCCATTAAAAGAGTTAAGATCTTTAAACTGTTGTTATAACTATGAGTAGTTTCTTTTTCTTTTTATCAGTAAAGGTGAAAAAAAAGGTAATAAAATATTTTAAAATTTATGATTATGTATATGTAGCATGAAAAAAGTTTTGGGTTTTAATCAAATTTTCTTGATGCCATACAATAAAGCCTGCCATTTTTCATTTGGAAATATCTCTAAGACCAAAGATGGGAAAAACAGGAGACAACATTTAGTTTACTGGAATATTCAAAGTAAACTCTAGAAAACTGAAAACTGCAGCTTGATTTATTTACATTACTGATTGTTTCCCACTTCCCATTTGTTCCCCTCCTGGCTATCCTAGAGGTATGTCTAGCATGTACCTTTTTCATCATTTGAAAATCCATGAAAGATTTTGACTTTTAATTAAAGTAGGAGATACTATTTAACTTCTTAGTAAGTCTTTTGGGAAGAGAAACTTGGTTTCATGTTTTTGGAGAGAGATGTATAGGTTTCACCTACAGGGTGAAAGTCAAAGGACTTGCAAGACTAGAAGGTCTTATTCACAGGGTGAAAATGGTAATCTTCATTATGTTTTACTTTGGCAATGAATGGCTTAGGTGTGTAACTTTGGTCTTTTGCTTTAGCTCAGTGAAATATAAAATTGAACAATGTATGATTTTAGAATTAAGTAAAATTTTAAATCAGAGCTATAAGTGTTAGGCATAAAAGTACATTGAGAAAAAACAGAAGTGAACATGGTTTGGAAAATCCTTCTATTACTGTCCTTCCAATATTACTTAACAGATCTTCAAAACTGACAAATGGCTGTACTTGTAGTGCCTTTATGATTGCATTACTGTTATGTACTCCCTTAGGTTCAGCATAAAAGTCAAATGCATTTCAATCAGTTGTATTCACATCTTTCATAGCAGGTAGTACATGAATGAATGTGTGTGACCTACTTTTCTTTTACTCTAAACACCGTGGAAAAAACCCTAAGCCTAAGATGGAATGCTGAATAATGTACAGTGCTGTTCAAATGCTTTCCGTGGAGGATGAGAGAAATTTTATTTTGAACTTTCCATTTTTGGACTTCATCACATTTGCAGTAGGTATCAGATAAACATTCCAGATACAAATCCAAATTTGTAAGAACTATTATATTACCTCTAAAAGCAACTTGAGACATCCTTTTCCATAAGTACTCTCAGAACAGGTATATACTGCTTCAAATTTATGTAATTCCTCCTTAGAGAATTTAAGCAATGTTCCAGGCTTTGCACAGGATGGTGTTGTCTGTACAGATCTACAAAGGCATGCAGTTTCCTTCTGAGTGAAATGCACATTTTCTGATACTGCTAGCTCCTATGGTCAAAGCCAGCTTTAAGAAAAGCCATACATGTGGATGACTGTATACCAAGTTTTCAATTCAAGTGGTATTTTCTTTTTGCATGGGAAATGTTAAATAATGCATAGATTTTTTTTTTTTTTACTGGATGTTTCTCATTTTCAGATTGTCTGGTATTTTGCTTCAGGGAATATTTTCTTCCCTACTCATTCTTTGGCTTCTTCTTTAGTATTCTACACAATTTTAAGCATTTTAAATTATAATTTTAAATATTTGTCCAACTTATAATGCTCCAGAAATTGAGTCAATGACATTCAGTCTCCTTTCTTTACCTTTCTTCTCATAATATGATTCACCTGTCACAAAAAATGTCAAAATTCTGATGAGAATAAACATTACAGTGATTCCTATGGAATGAGGAAACTTTGTACTGATTTATACTCATGAAAGAGAATGGAAAGAAATGAGAAGGGCTTGAACAATAAAGATCATCTTAAGGAGAAGAGGGGGGCTGGTGATGCTGGGGAGACACTAGGGCTATTTAACAACAGGGTTTTCTCTTTTTGGATATCAGGTTTCTCCTAGGAAATCTTTTGCTTCAGCTGAAGCGGCAAGAATTGATGGACTTTAGTCATAAAGAGCAATATGATCAGAATTTGATCCATTAATTCAGAGAGAGTTTCAGGAAGGTTATATTACTTTTAGTTCTATCCCTGCTTTCTTATTTAGGGATTATTTTATTTCTGATTTTTAAAATATGAAATGTAGTGTAATTTCTCAGTTCTGATAATAATATTGTCTGTTTACATGGGATAATAAACTTGTCTGAGCAGAGACCCAGTGGGATAGAACAATAAAAATCCTATATTCAAAAAACCAACTATTCATTTCCAAGCTTTGGACAGGAGGTGACTGGAACCTCCTGTAAAGGGACAGTGGAAGTTGTCTAGCCACTAAGTCCTTCTCTCATGTTCAGTTTCCTTGATGCTTCAAGTTTGGTTCTCAATAGCGCAGGAAGAATAAGCCTGTGATACTTG